TTTCATTTCTTTTTATTGCAGAATAATATTTCATTGAATGGGTATATCACACATATCTATCCATGAGTTGATGGACATTTGATGTGTTTCCACTTTTTGGCTATTGTGAGTAATGCTGCTATGATTATTTTTGTACAAGTTTTTGGTGGACATATGTTTTTAATTCTCTTGGTATATACCTAGGGGTAAAACTGCTTAGGTCATATGATAACTGCATTTAACATTCTGAGGAACAGAAAACGTTCTCAAAGCTGCTGCACCATTTTACATACCAGCAAGTTTTGAGGGTTCCACCTTCTCCACATGCTTGGCAACATTTGTTGTTATTTACCTGCTTGATTGTGGGTAACCCCGCATATAGGCACTGAGGAAAGAGACCTAAGCAGAACCCTGGCACAGTTAGGGCTTGAAGAATATCTCAGTTTATAGTGTTACTACCCAACTATTTCCTTTTATATAATCCTTTATATAATCATATATTAGTTTATAGAATTAGGGCTTGAAGAATCCCTTTATATAATCATATAATGGTTCATATGATGAGTACCTAAAGAATATTTCCCTACACACATATAATTGTATCTTAGTTCATAATTGGAGAATGCCTAGAGTGGACACGATACAGAGCGTGAATTAAGGAATAAGCAGCTTATAATCGGAGGAATGCCTAGAGCAGACACAGTGCAGAGCATGATTCAAGGGAAAAACAGTTATGCCAGGACAAGAATCCATGGCCCAGGTGGCAGCGTTCAGTATCGTAAAGATATCCACTGTATGGCAGGCTTGGGGCAAGAGCCACTCTTCCTGATAAAGGAGTTGTAGGACCTTGCTCCTGTTCTTGTGGAAGGCTGCCCTCAGACCAGCAATCCACCTTGGTGACTGTGAACTTTATCAGCTCTTGTTACTGTGCTGCTCAGAAAGGATTCCCCTATAGAACTCATTGGAAGCTGCCAGCAGGTGGCATAGACCTTGACAGCTCTGTCACTACTGTGTGACTTAAAGCATCCTCCTATAAATCTTCTTAGAAGTAGTTTGCCCATAGATAGAAGTATTGCACACTGCATCCTCTTCACTGTGCACAGCCCACCTTCAAGCCTCGGTGACCTAATGGGAGTGGACCACTTACTGCACACGGCCCTTGCCTTGATGGGAACGGGCCCCTTGCTGTGCACTGTCCACCTCCTAGCCTAGGTGACCTAATGGGGGTGGACTCCTTGTTTTATTTCTCACGACCCTATCACTATCCTTAAAGATGATTTCACTCACTGCCCTGCCCCCTAATCTATACACAATAAATACTCACACTTCCAGACATTCGGAGCCTTGCCTGACTCCACTCATAGGTGGCGTGGCCCCCCGAGCCCAGTTGTATTTTCCTTGTACTTTTGTATCCTGTCTCTTTATTTCTCGGATCCTGCACCTCAGCACAGTGTAAGGCACGTCCCACGACCCTGTGGACCTTCAGCCCTACACTTGATTATAGTCATCCTAGTGTGTGTGAAGTGGCATCTCACTGTGGTTTTCACTTTCATTTTTCTAATGGCTAAGATGTTGAATGTCTTTCCATGTTTTTGTTGATCATTTGTATATTTTCCTTGGAGAAATGTCTATTCAGATCCTTTGCTCACTCTTTAATAGGGTTTTAGGGAGTTATTTACCCTTTGATTATTGAGTTCAAGTTCTTTATGCAGTCTGGATACAAGTCTCATATAAGATATATGATTTGCAAATACTTTCTTTCATGCTGTGGGTTGTCTTTTCACTTTCTTAATGCTATCATTTGCAGCAAAGGAGGTTTTAATTTTGATGAAGTCAAACTTACCTATTTTTCCTTTTGTCACTTGTGTTTTTGGTGTTTTATTTAAGAAACCATTACCTACTCCAAGGTTACAAATATTTATTTTTATGTAAACTTCTAAGAATTTTATAGTTTCAGCGCTTACGTTTAAGTCTATGATTTACTTTGAGTTGAATTTTGGTTATTGTAACAGGAAGGGCTCTAATTTCATTCTTTTGCATGTGGATATCCAGTTGTCACAGCACCATTTGTTGAAAGACTATTTTTCCCCTATCGAATTGTCTTGGCATCCTTGTTAAAAATCAATTGACCATAAATGTAAGGGTTTATCGCTGGACTCTCAATTCTGTTCCTTTGATCTACATGTCTATCTTCACACCAGTAACTTCATTACTATAGTTTTGCCTTAAGTGTTGAAATTGGGAAGTGTAAGTCCTCCAGCTTTGTTCTTCTTTTTTAGTTTTGACTAGTCTGGGTCCCTCACATTTCCAAGCATGGCTTTTATCCTCAAGGGGAAATTTTTTTTAGAAAAAAAGAAAAAGGAACTGCAGGAATTGTGAAATTCATTTTGTGTTTTCTGAGTGATACTTCTGCAATGCACCTTTTCTCTTGGATGGGGGACTTTCTCTCTTTTAAGTTCAGTCCCAGTTATGGTAGATTTCCATTTTCACTATTGATGAACACTGTGTAGAGTACTGACTCGGCCAAAGCCTCATCCTGCCTTGAGTCAGTTGGCTGGGTCAAAGGTTATTTTCACATAGGAGGTTTCACAACTCCCTAATTTTTTATGTACTGCCAGCTAAGAATTATCATATTCTATTGTTTTGGCTTCTGTACTGTTTTGATTGTACACCTCATTGGCAAATCACTTTTGAGTATGAGTTTTTGAATATTCATTTTGAGTATACAAATATATAAATATTTCATTTATAAATTATAGATGCCCATGATTATTATATAAACACATAAACAAAACAGAAGTTTTAGAAGATGAGGTAAAATGACTAGAAATAGATGGTTCCCCACCTCTCAATGGCTTTTATCTTGCTGGAGACGGCCCTCCTGGATCTTTCCTGTTTATCTCTGTGTGGTCCTAGCACCCAGCCAGCCAAACGGGACCTGGTATAGAGATACAGCAGAAGCTCAATGATGTTCGAAAGAAAAATTTCAGGCCAGGAAGGGTGTACCTCAGGCTTGTAATCCCAGCACTTTGGGAGGCCAAGGCAGGCGGTCACTTGAGCTCAGGAGTTTGAAACCAGTCTGGCCAACATGGTGAAATCTTGTCTCTGGTAAAAATACAAAAAGTAGCCAGGTGTGGTGGCAGGCTCCTGTAATCCCAGCTACTGGGGATGAGAGGTTGCTGAGGCATGATTCCTAGGAGGCAGAGGTTGCACGGATCCAATATGGCGCCACTGCACTCCAGCCTGGGTGACAGATCAAGACTCTGTCTCAAAAAAAAAAAAAAAAAAAAAAAAAAAAAAAATCAGCTAGCTTACTATTTTTATTACTGCTTCCATCCCTAAGTTTTGCACATAGCAGGTAAAGGTTCTGCATCTATTGCCTGCCAATTGGCTAGGGTTATTTTGTAGAAAGGATATGGATCGCTTCATCGCTTCATCCTTGTCTTCTGTTTTACCTTTGACTTGCACCACATCTGACTTATTTAGAAAATAGCAGTTTTATCATCCTTAATTTATACTCTTCATTTCATACCGTGTGGTCAGGCAGAGTCCTGATACTAAGACCACAAAGAATGGAAAGCAAAGTCTTTGATCAGAATGTAGCACAGCAGGAGTGAACAAAAGGCAAGGAAGCTCTAGGGTGTGAACAGCTGGGAAGGCTTCAGGGAACTGCATTTTAAAAGAAGAGTGGGCAGTTAGCCAAATGGAGAGGAGAGTTAGGCTGTCCCAGTTGAACGGTGGGAGCAAAGACAGGCAAGCCAGCACATTCTAGGAGAGGGGTAAATTTGAGTTTGGTGTAGCTGAACACAAGGGGCAATGGTGGTTGCATCTGTTTTAGGAAGAGTTCTCTGGCAGACCCGTGGAGTATTAGACTTTTTTTTTTCTTTTTTCTTTTTTTTGTTTGAGACGGAGTCTCGTTCTGTAGCCCAGGCTGAAGTGCAATGGTGCAATCTCGGCTCACTGCAACCCCTGCCTCCCGGGTTCTAGCGATTCTCCTGCCTCAGTCTTCTGAGTAGCTGGGATTACAGGTACGTCCCACCACACCCGGCTAATTTTTTGGTATTTTTAGTAGGGACAGGGTTTCACCGTGTTAGCCAGATGGTCTCGATCTTTTGACCTTGTGATCCGCCCGCCTAGGCCTCCCCAAGAGTATCAGACTTTTTATTTATTATTTATTTAGAGACAGGGTCTCGCTCTGTACCCTCAGGCTGGAGTGGCACATTCGCAGCTCACTGCATGCAATCTCCACCTACATGGCTCAAGTGGTCCTCCCACCTCAGCCTCTCAAGTAGCTGGGGCCACAGGTCCAAGCCACTGCTCCCGGCTAAGTTTTGTATTTTTTGTAGACACGGGGTTCGCCGTCTAAGATACTGGCAGACCTGGGCAGGGAGTATTAAACTTTTGAAGCTGGGAGTAGAGATAGGCTGTTGGTTGCCTGGAAAGCAGTGCACAATTACAGACAGAATGTGGAAACCTCTGAGCATGGAGGCCCAAACGAAGCCGGAAAACGGCTTTAGTGCTCTAGCTAGCAGCGTTCTTTTTTTAGGATCTCAGAACCTACTTTTTTTTTTTCCTTTCTGTCCTGGGTTGTTTACCCTTTCCCTTTGTCCCCAAGAGACACACCTTTATCAGAAAATTACGGTTTATTTCCTGAGCATCGCAGGGATTGGTTGGGGGTATTCTGTTTTGGGGTTCCATTGAGGCCTGTGGCTGAAGGGAAGACATAGAGACGCTGCGCTGCACAGGTTTAATCCAGCAAGGGCTTGATCGAAGGCTTCATTCCACCCCCGCCCCAATTAAACCACACACACAGAATTAGAGGTTCTGACACACCCTGACAGAATAGCCTCTGGGGTGCCAGGAACCCCCCACCAACTGCCACCGGCGTGTCTACGCGGGCCAGGAAACCCAGGTCCCCGGCTCCTTCCTGGATTACGCCCCTGCCCCGCCCAAGGGTGAAGGGGGGCGGGGCCAGCCGGCGCCCTCCGGGTGGGCCTTGCGCCAAGTCAGGTCCTGCGGGGCCGGGCCTCACGGCCCCGCGGCGCCGGTGGGTGGGGCCTCCCTCAAGGCAGTGTCAGTAACGGCGTCAAGCCCCGCCCCTCGGAGAGGCTGGGCGGGTCGGGAACGAGCGCGCGGGCTGGGCCGGAGCCGGCCTGGTCGCCAGCCTAGCCCCGCGCAGTGAGCGGAGCGCCTGGGCGGCGGCGGCGGCGCGATGGCTCCTGCCGCGGACCGGGAGGGCTACTGGGGCCCCACGACCTCCACGCTGGACTGGTGTGAGGAGAACTACTCTGTGACCTGGTACATCGCCGAGTTCTGTGAGTGTGGCCTGAGGCGGGGAGCGGGGGCGAGAGGGCACCGGACTAAGGAGACGCCATGTGAAGAAGGCAAAGGGCTAACCTGGCCGCGAGGGGAGGTGCCAGGCCTGGCCCCGGAGCTGGAGTGTGGCGCCCAGGGCCAGCGAGAGGCTGAGGGAAGCGGGCCGGATGTCCAGTGGGTCGAGGGAGGAATGCCGGGGTCTGGGCGGGCGGAAGGGGGCCTGAGGATTAGCGGGGCGGAAGAGCAGTGGGAAGTGGCGAGCCCCTGCTGGACCTAAGGGGGAAAGCCGAAGGAGCAGGGTTGGGAATGGGAATTCCTGTCCTAGGGCGGAGTGGGGCCAGGCTGGCAGAGTGGAGGACCCTGCCCCTTGGAATGAGGGCCCAGGACACCTGCTCTGCTGTTGCCACCACCACCTTAGCCAGGAGGGGACCGTTCCTATCTTCGCTTTTTCCCCAATCCGTGAGCATTCTACCGTGTTTCCCTTCCCTTTTCTGTTCTTATTAGACCTCCTCGCTAACCTCCAGGGAACAGTTTTACCAATCTGAGATCTGAACCACCCCACCCCTACCTCCCAGGATGTCTTCAAGTGCCAGAGGTCATCTGCTCTCTGAGTATGATTATTCAACTGTCATCTTGCACCAGTAGTCGAAGGCATCTTGCACCTAGTCTGTATCTTCTGCTCCTGCCAGGCTCCTGAGAGCAAAAGGGACCAAGTCCCTGCCCTACTCTGTCTATCCGACTGTCTAGGAGTCAGGGGTCATTTAAGGACACTGCTTCCACTGACTGGACCTTCTGAGGATTTAAGAATTCTTCTCTAGCTGCTGCTCTGTCAGGCACTGCTGGCCAGGTTGGGCTTATTCTGTGTGTGTGTGTGTGTGTGTGTGTGTGTGTGTGTGTGTGTTTCCTAGATGATTTTTCCTGCCAGGCTAGGAGAAATCCGCCACTTCTTTTTCTATCGTTTAATCAGGTTTTGAGAGCACATTATCTGATCCTTCTTTTACATACCTGCTTCTGGCAAAGTGCAGAGACTATCCTTTGGCTAAGGATCACCGCCTTCTTTTAGTTGGCTCTACTTCTCAGGACATGAAGTGAAACTCTTATTACCTAACCTTCTCATTGTTGAGTTCTGCTCCCAGGCATCTGTGCATGGCTTTGTAGGAAAGAGGCAAACATATCATGACAAGTGGTCCTACTTTATTCTGTTCTGGTAATTGGCTAAGTTTCCGGAAAAAAAAAGAGAAAAAACACTTTTTGCAGTTTTCAGGACTTTTTAGTACTATTCTCTTATGACCATGATTTAGGCTGAGACTCACTTTTCTTGAACTATTAGTTTACATGAATAATTTTTACATAATAATAGAGAAATATGGGCAAAGGGATCCTTTGTAATGCAGTTACTTGGAAGTCCACATGTTGGCAAATGAAACACTTTACCAGTTTGTTGTTAGATCACTTTGGCAAGTCCATGCCTGGTCTGGAAGACCATGACCATGCGGGAAGAGATGAAAACCGTACATTCTGAGTTGGAAATGTGGAACATGGAAAAGAGAAACTCAAGAGTCTTCAAATATTGGATGGGCTATCATATAGAACAGCTAATTTTTTTTTTTATTAGAATCTGGAATTAGGGCCTATGGGCAGAAACTGTAACAGGGAAAATTTTGCTTCAATGTAAGGAAAAACCTTCTAACCAATGATATAGGAAAGATTGACTTAGGGGACAGAGGGCTTTCTGTCACTGAAAGTGTTAAATTAGACATTGTTCAACGAACTCCTGAATATTTTCAGAGGAAAAAAATTAGCAGAGAAAAGGGGCTGGCCTTAGTTGGTCTTTAGATCCTTTGCAGCTTTATGGGTCTACCTAGATAATAATAACTCAGTTGACAACCAAGGTTTTGGATTCAAATCAAAAGAAAAAACTGGGCTGGGCATTGTGGCCCATGCTTGTAATTCCAGTACTTTGAGAGGTCAAGGCAGGAAGATCTCTTGAGGCCAGGAGTTCGAGTTTAGCCTGAGCAACATAGTGAGACCTTGTCTCCATAAAATGTAAAAAATTAGCTGGGCATAGTGGTTTGTGCCTGTAGTACCATCTACTCAGGAGACTGAGGTGGGAAGATCACTTGAGCCCATGAGTTCAAGGTTGCAGTGAGCTATAATTGTGCCATTGCACTCCAGCCTGGGCAAGAGTTAGACCCTGTTTCTACAAAAAAAATTAAAAATGCAAAGAGAGAAAACTGGCAGTTAAGTCATGTGGACTATGAGAGAGCAAGATACTGTGTTCTGGCAGATAGCTCTGAGAAATGGAAATGACATTTGTTCTCAGTGTGCTCAGAAGAGGAAACTGCGCAGACTGCAGGGAGGGTTTTGACATAGGAATCAGAGGGGTTGTAAGAAGAGGATGAGTAAATGTTGGCAGGCCTTTGCACATGTACCTTGGGAGAAAATCGTCTGGAGGAAGTTGAGGTCAAGTCATCTTACCATAGCAAGTCATGAGTATCTATAATAGTATATCTTGGACTAAGAGAATTTGTTCTTTGAAAGATATGCTTATTAATAATAATATGTTTAAAATGTGTTTAAAGCAAATGCAATTTTAGCATCATGATAGCATTTACATTAACGATAGTATTGATGGTAATATTAAGTGGAATAATGGCAATAATAGCTATTATCTAAGTGGTCACTATGCACTGCACTTTGCTAAGCACTTCATATATCTTATCTCTTTTGATCTTTATAGTAATTCCAAAAAGAAGGTATTATTATGCCCATTTCAAGGATAAGGAAATTGAAGCTCTAGGAAATACTTTACCTAAGATTAGAGTAAGTGATGTAGAGATAGTATTCACATTGAGGTCTGACTCTAAAGCTGCTATCCATGTTACCTCTCCATCATTACTTTTATCACACATTCATTGTTTTTCTCTTATATTCAAGAAAGGAAGACAGATATGAAATACTATGGTATCACAGAGGACAAACTGAACAACTATTCAGTTTACTCAACTATCTTTCAGCATTTGAATATATGTATTTTAGGGAATAAGGAAGAGTTTAGAGAATTGCATATTCAGATATGGCAGTGGTTCTCAGTCACTTTCAGCACCTGGAAACTGTCTTCCTGCATCAGCCAAGATTAGTTTAAGTTCCTTTTGTTTGAGCATATTGTAAGGACCAGGGGAAAAGGTATCTCACTGTGAAATAATAAGCCCTTTGACATGCCAGAAGTTAAAGGTACAGACAGTCCTTGCTTTGCATTGTAGCATGGGACCATACAAATGACTATTTAAGTTAAAACCAGGTAACGCTATGTTAAAAATCAATGGGAAAAAGTTATGATTGTTCTGTGACCTTTAAACTTTTTGTCAAACATTGTAAACTCTCTCACTGTTGGTTATGAATATATAGGGAAATGAAAAAGTAAGCATATTTATTCAGTATACTTTAAAACATTAAAAACATTGAGAAATAAACGTTTTTCTTTATAAAAATCACTTATCAGGAGTAATTTAAACAGTGCTTGCTTTTCATCACGTAACTATAATATGGAATGAGTATTTTTTATTGTTTCTTCTTCTTATTTATCAGGCAGAGTATCGTTCTGCTGACCGGGCTGGAATGCAGTGGTGTGATCTCAGCTCACTGTAACCTCTGCCTCCTGGGTTCAAGCAGTTCTCCTGCCTCAGCATCCCAAGTAGCTGGGATTAATAGGGACATGCGACCATGACTGGCTAATTTTTGTATTTTTAGTAGCGATAGCGTTTCATCATGTTGGCCAGGCTGGTCTCAAACTCCTGACTTCAAGTGATCCACCTGCCTTGGCCTCCCAAAGTGCTGGGATTACAGGTGTGAACCACCATGCCCAGTCATCTTTTATCTTTTAAATTAAAACATTTTTAAAAACTTGTTTTTTTGGTTTTGTTTTTAGCAAGCTACCTCTGCACTAATGAGGGCCAATAGTTTTCTGGGGTTTTTTTTTTTGAGACAGGGTCTCCCTCTGTTGCTTCAGCTGGAGTACAGTGGCACAATCACAGCTCACTGCAGCTCGACCTCCCAGCTCAAGTGATCCTGTCACCTCAGCACCCCATAGCTGGGACTACAGGTGTGTGTCACCATGCCCAGCTAATTTTTTTTTTATTTTTAGTAGAGATGGGGTTTTGCCATTTTGTCCAGGCTGGTCTTGAACTTCTGAGCTCAAGCACTCCTCCCACCTTGGCCTCTCAAAGTGTTGGGATTACAGGCATAAGCCACCATGCCCAGCCAGGATGAGTACTATCTTTTCTAATCTGTACCACCTTCCAGAATTTATCCTTTGTGCTTTTAATATTGTGAAATCTCTCTAAGAGTTCCTTTAATGCAACGTTTTTTTTGTTAGCATTATTTCTCTTGGGACATCTTTATCTTTTTCACCACGACTACTTTATTCATTTGTATTTCTAAGTTTGACTTTGCTGAGTTTCTCAGGCTGCATGTTTTTGTTTGTTTGTTTGTTTGTTTTGAGATGGAGTCTCATTCTGTCACCCAGGCTGGAGTGCAGTGGTGCAATCTTGGCTCACTGTAACCTCCACCTCCTGCGTTTAGGCGATTCTTGTGCCTCAGCCACCCAAGTGGCTGGGAGTGTGCCACTACACCCAGCTAATTTTTGTATTTTTAATAGAGATGAGGTTTCACCATGTTGGTCAGGCTAGTCTCGAATGCCTGATCTCAAGTGATTCACCTGCCTCAGCCTCCCAAAGTGCTGGGATTACAGACATGAGCCACCTTGCCCAGCATTTTTTTTTTTTTTTTTTTTGAGATGAAGTCTCACTCTGGCCCAGACTGGAGTGCAGTGGTGCAATCTTGACTCACTGCAATCTCCACCTTTCAGGCTCAAGTGATCCTCCCACCTCAGCCTTCCAAGAAACTGGGATTACAGGCACACACCACCATGCCTGGCTAATTTTTGTATTTTTTTGGTAGAGAGGGGTTTCACCATGTTGGCCAGTATGGTCTCAAACTCCTGGCCTTAAGTGATCTGCCCACTTTGACCTCCTAAGGTGCTGGAATTACAGGTGTGAGCCACTGCACCCAGCCCCTCAGACTACATATTTAGAGTCTCTTGAATGGCAGTAGCGTCAGCATTCCTATGGTCAGCTATTTCTTCTATAGCTCTGTTTACATTTGACTGAAATTTTACTTCCAACATTATATATTTTTGTTTCTCTGCTAACCTTTAATCATTCTTGGCCAATTGCCTCTTTCTGTTACTCATTTTTGTAACATCGCATATAAGTTTATCACCAGGAGACAAGGAGGCAACTCAACTACATACTCTTTGCTTTCTGTGCATGAACTGAGTAACAGGTTTGACGTTCATTGTGACTGATCACCAACAGACATGGAAAGAAGTGACTTGGTTGGTCACTGATTGTGATATACTTCTGTTATTTGTATAGTGATTTGTGGACTTAAGAGGTAGCAGTGAAGTTTGTATTATATTCAACATGTTCAGCTACTCACACTTAGTATACAGTGGTGACTGAAATTTGAATTGTGTAATGGGTAATTGGTGTTATTTAACTAAACTATGATAACTGAAATTTGGGCATATTGGAAGCCTGCAAATTGAAGACTGCTTGTATATTTCTAATCCTCAGAACATTCCTATCAAGGAATGTTAGGTGTTGCTACCCCATTGTAAAGAGGAGGGTGCTGAATCTTGGAGAAGTTAAGTAAGCAGTTCAGCATCATACAGCTATTAAGTAGCAGAAACGGTATTCAGATTTAGGTCTCGTAACCCTTTCTACCAAGACTTACTATCTATAGGAAGTGGAGTTTCAGATGCTGTTGATTTAATGGAAGAAATATTACCCAAAGGGAAATGGAGGGGAATTCTAAGTTTTACTCATAGCTTTATGATGTGAGCCATCATGCCCTGGCCAAATTTTCTTCATTCATTCTTCTGACAGTGTAAATTTGGATTACTTCTACCTCTTGGCTATTGTGAACAATGCTGCTGTAAACATGGCTGTTCAGAAAAGAATTGCCCAGTTAAAAATTATTCAGAATTTTTTATTTATTCAGCAGATATTTACTAGTGCCTATTATGTCACCGACTAAGACTATAAAACTTTATTTGAAGACAGCTTCTCTGTTCAAAGTAGCCGAGAGGCCAGATGTGGTGGCTCATGCCTGTAATCCCAGAACTTTGGGAGGCTGAAGCGGGCGGATCACTTGAAATCACAAGTTGGAGATCACCCTGGCCAACATGACGAAACATCATCTATACTAAAAATATAAAAATTCACCAAATGTGGTGGTGTGTGCCTGTAGCCCCAGCTACTTGGGAGGTTGAGGCAGGAGAATCACTTGAACCCAGGAGGCGGAGATTGCAGAGAGCTGACATTGTGGCACTGCACTCTAGCCTCGATGACAGAGCGAGATTCTGTCTTAAAAAAAAAAAAAGCAGCTCAGAGGCCAGCAGGAGTATGAACAGACAAGTACAAACAGGCACATTCTTTCTTTCAGTTGAAATGCCTTCCTGAAAATGTATTTGATCAAATAATGTCCAAGAATTGACACATTATGAGAAAGGTTTTATCAGAGAGCTTATAAATAAAAAAAATGAAGAAAGCTTAAAAATACCTGAAAATTCCCAATTATGATTTTTATAGGGCCTACCTGAGTCTAAGGAGGTAATCTAGTTGGTATGACTTTCATGGATGGGAAGAATGTCTGTTACGATCTTGTATGATCATCTTGACATATCCATTTGTCTATGAGAGAATGATTCAAGCCAGGTATTGTTCCTTCTCATAGGTTTGCTGCCCTTCTCCCCATGCTATTCATAGGAAGTGGGCAGAATGAAAGTAGAGCAATCCTGAGTCTTTATACTTTTACTATGGGATTCACTTAGATGAGGGAACGAGGTCTTTATTTCCTTGCTGCAGCAGCACAAGACAAAAGCTTTAATCAGCTGCCTCTGCCATACAGGTATATGATGAAAGGCATTTGACTGCTTGTAGCCCTTTGCTATCTTTTGTTTCTTTTCCTTTTCTCAGATTCCTTCCTACCATCCTCCCTGAAGAGCAACCTCAAGTTAGTGAGCACACATCAGGCTTCTTTTTTGGTCTTGGAACTCTGTGGCCTGGTAGAGGTGATATCCCTGTCACATTAAGAAAGATGCTCCTTTCTCTGAAGACTATTGACAGGCAAGCAGCATTGCCTCCAAATTATAACTCAAAAACATCGTAAGTCAACTGAAGAATGAAGGCCAAATGAAAGGACAAATTGAGTGTACAAAAGAGTTTAGGTTTAATATATCTGTGAGTGTGAGAGTGTGTGTATGTGTGTGTGTATGTGTGTGTGTGTATAGCCCATGATTCCTGGCTCATAATTCCCATATCCCTTTTTAGAGTAATTTATTATAATGTTGGGGCACTATAGGCCTCAAAGTAGGCCTCAGGAAACAGAATCTCTGTCTCTCTGATCTTCCCCTGCCCTTTCACCTGCCCAAAGCAGGACTCTAATCTGACTGTGGGTCACAAGACCCTCATTACAGAGAGAGTCCTGCCCCATGCCCTGGAGGAAACAATGCTGCACAGAGGAATCTGAACAGACAGGCTTTGCTGGATTTCTCCATTCTGTCTATTAATATTAGATTATACCCTTTTTGTCCAATCATATTTCAACATGGCTGTTTATACTTCAATCATGCCTATCCAATGAAGTCTGCATAAAAGATTCAAGAGGACAGGGTTTGGAGAGCTTCTGGATAGCTGAACATGTGAAGGCTGACAGAAAGGTGAACAAGAACTCATCCATATATTAGGAGGGTGCTGTATCCCAAATCCATAGGACAGAACCTCCTGTGCTCAGGACCCTTCCAAACCTGCTCCTGTGTATCTCTTCTTCTGCCTGTTTATTTGTAAACTTTAAAATACCCTTCATAATAAACTAATAAATGTGTTTCCCTGGTTTCTGTAAGCTACACTTGTCCCAGCCCCGGATTTGGGACAGGTGTCTGAAGGAAGGGGGCAGTTTTGGGGACTGATCCCTCAACCTGTAGGATCTGACACTATCTCCAGGTAGATAATGTTGGAATTGAATTGGAGGACACCCAGCTGGTGTCTGCTGCAGAACTGACTGCTGTAGAACTGATTGGGTTTCCCCACACACACTTGGTCACAAAAGTCTTCTGTGATAATTGTGTTGTGAGAACAGAGGAAAAACACAGTGTGAGTTCGTTTTTGCAGACAGTATCCAAGTCAGACTGCCAGTTAATTGTTTTAGGTGCTATGATATATGTATGGTACACTGGAATGCAAGGAAAGGGTACTTATTACAAACTTAAAACATAGATTCATAAAGCTTTTATAGAGTTAGTGCTGCAAGAGCTGCCATATCAGCTACTTATTCATTTTTAATTGCGGAAAAATACACATAACATAAAATGTATCATCTTAACCTTTTTAAATGTACATACACTTTGGTAGTAGTCAGTAGTGTTAAGTACATTCACACTGTTGTGCAATCCATTTCCAGAACTCTTCATCTTGCAAAACTGAAACTGTATCCATTAAACAATTCCCCATTCCCTCCTCCTCCTAGTCTGGTAGCCACCCTTCTACTTTCTGTCTCACTATACATTTAACTACTCTAATTACCTCTTATAAGTAGAACCATATAGTACTTGTCTTTTTGCCAGTATTTTATTTCACTTAGCATAATGTCCTTAAGGTTCATCCAGTCGTAGCATGTATCAGAATTTCCTTTCTTTTTAAGGCTGTATAATATTTTATTGTATGTGTTTGCCACATTTTCTGTTTTTTGAGATAGGGTCTCATTGTCACTTAGTCTGGAGTGCAGTGGCACGATCATGGCTGATGGTAGCCTCAACCTCCTGGGCTCAAGTGGGCCTCCCACATCAGCCTTTCAAGGTGCTGGATTACAGGTGTGAGCCACCATACCCCTGCCTCATTTTTTTATTCATTTTTCTGTCAGTGTACACTTGGGTTGCTTATACCTCTTGGCTGTTGTGAATAATGCTGCTGTGAACATGGGTGTACAAATATCTCTTCAAGCCCCCAAAGGTGGGACTGCTGGACCATGTGGTAACAGAGTAGCTGTTTTAACCTTTTCATTATAAAGAAGGCTTTTAAATATTTTCTTTCATGAGTGCCATGAATTTGTTATCATTCTTACATAAATTACAATTTATTATTACTCCTACATAAATTATAATTGTTAATGTACTTTATCCCTGTTTTAATGAATCAAAGGCACATGTAACTCACCAAGACAATTTTAGATACAGTTACCATGCTGTAATTATTCATATGAGATACAGCCACTAATTACTTTAATGCAATGATATATAACAAAACAGTATAATATTTTCATTACAATCTTCTTTTGGAGAAATGTGATTTTTGAAACATTAAAAATAGCCAACAGAAATAATGATAGTTAACATTTATGGGGTTTAATGTACAAAGTTCTATGAGTGTATTATCTGATAAGAACTCTTGTTACAATCCTTACAACAACTCTTAAATTAGGTCCTGTAGTCCTATTTTAAAGACCTGGAAATTTAGGGCAGAGAGTCATCCCAGCTACTTGAAAGGCTGAGGCAGGAGTATCACTGGAACTTGGAAGGCAGAGGTTGCAGTGAGCCAAGATTGCGCCACTGTACTCCAGCCTGGGAAACAGAGCAAGACTCAGTCTAAAGTTTTCCACTTTGCAAGTGGCAAAGCGAAGATTTAAACTCATTCAATCTGACTTCCAGAGTGCATTCTCATTCTCTCTCTTCTTGTTTTACTTTTGCAGTTAGCTTTTTGAGGTATAATTTACTTAAAATAAAATGCATCTGCTTTAAGTATATAGTGTAAAGCAAAAAGTATCTGAGACAGGTTTTAGTCAACTTACAAGTTTATTTTCCAAGGTTAAGGATCATGACCTGTGACACAGCCTCAGGAAGTCTTTAGAACATGTGCCTAAGGTGGTTGGGTTACAACTTGGTTTTATGTTTTAGGGAATCATAAGATGTCAATCAGTACATGTAAGGTAAACATTGGTTCAGTTTAGAAAGGTGGGACAACTTGAAGTGGTGAGTAGGGGGCACAGCTTACAACAGGTCATTAGTGGATTTAAAGATTTTCTGATTGGCAGTTGGTTGAAAGAGTTAAGTTATTATTTAAAGCCCTGGAATCAATAGAAATCAGTATCTGGGTTAAGAGGGTTAAGAGAAGGGGTTGTAGAGACTAATGTTCTTATTATGTAGATGAAGTCTCATTGGAGGCTGCCCTTAGAGGCAATAGATGGCAAATGTTTTCCTTTTAAAAGATGCTAGACTGTCAGCTAATCTCTTCAGGATCAGAAAAAGACCTGGAAAGGGATGAGAATTCTCTGCAGAATGTAAATTTCCTCTACAAGAGTCAGCTTTGCAGGGCCATTTCAAATTATGTCAAAGAAATATATTTTGGGTAATGTACTTTGATTTCTTTCAGAGCCTCGCTGTTTATCATGTGATAGTATACTAGAGTCAGGTTGAAATTTGGTATGTTGTTGCTACAAAAAGTCTGTTCTGTCAGTCTTAGGATCTCTATTTTTTTAATGTTAATGCTGGCCAATTGTATGCCTGAATTCCAAACAGTATAATGAGGCATATCTGACCCCTCTCTTTACCACCCCACCCTATCCCCCTTCATTCCTCAACTTTACCCCCGAAACCCTGGTATGGGGTGAAAGTTTTTCTTTTTTCTTTTTCTTTTTGAGACTGAGTCTTGCTCTGTTGCCCAGGCTGGAATGCAGTGGCACAATCTCAGCTCACTGCAACCTCTGCCCCTGGGTTTAAGTGATTCTTCTGCCTAGGTAGGATTACAGGCACCTTTTGCCTAGCTCATTTTTGTATATTTAGTAGAGACAGTGTTTCGCCATGTTGGCCAGGCTGGTCTCCAACTCCTGACCTTAGCTGATCTGCCTGCCTTGGCCTCCCAAAGTGCTGGAATTACAGGTGTAAGCCACCACACCCAGCCTTGAAGTAGCCATTTAATTCCAAAACGATGTACTTAACTACCATACTACCTTGCCTTCCTCCCTTACCACTTTTTTAGATGCCAGTGAGTCCACGGACCTTATGGTGGGAACTAGTGATCTAATGTTCTCATTTTACAAATAAGGAAAAAGACCTTAAGAAGTGATCTGCCTAAAATTACATTGAAAATTAGCAGTGAAGACTAGATCAGAATCCACATATAGTAGTTTCTCAGTCTGGGAACTGATGGAGCAGAGGAGGATGATGTCATTATTGTTGATGTCATATTGATAATGGGTTACCAGATCAAAGGACTTCCACCAAACAAAAAGTTTCTAATGAACTGTTTTATTATGGTGAAAATACCTAACATCTATGAAGTGTTTTATAACAATAGGCCTCAGACTTTAATATGTATGTGAATTACCTGGGAATCTTATAAAAAACATTCTGGTTTAATAGATCTGGAATGTGCCCTTAGAGCTTTCTCTCCCTCCCTCCCTCCCTCCCTCCCTCCCTTCCTTCCTTCTTGAGACAGGGTCTAACTCTGTTGCTCAGGCTGAAGTTCAGTGGCATGGGTATAGCTTACTGTAACCTCAAACTCCTGGGTTCAAGGGACCTCCTGCTCCTGCTTCAACCTCCCAAATAGCTAAGCACTACAGATGTATGCCACCATGCCTGGTGAATTTTTTATTTTATTTTTTGTAGAGATGCTGGGAATATCACTATGTTGTCCAGGCTGGTCTCGAATTCCTGGCCTCAAGCAAACCTCCCAAAGTGTTGGGATTATAGGCATAAGCCACCATGGCTGGCTGAGTTTGCATTTCTCAAAAGCTATCAGGTGATTCCAGTGCTGCTGGTCTAGAGACTATACTAGAAGCAAGGCTTTAACATACTCAAAGCACTTTTATATCTTTTATGAGATGTAGGTGTTATCCCTGTTTTTATGTAAGGAAAGTAAGTTCAAAAGGATAAGCAGTTTGTTAAAGATCACAGAGCTGGGCCAGGCGCGGTGGCTCAAGCCTGTAATCCCAGCACTTTGGGAGGCCGAGGCGGGTGGATCACGAGGTCAAGAGATCGAGACCATCCTGGTCCACATGGTGAAACCCCGTCGCTACTAAAAATACAAAAATTAGCTGGGCATGGTGGCGCGTGCCTGTAATCCCAGCTACTCGGGAGGCTGAGGCAGGAGAATTGCCTGAACCCAGGAGGCGGAGGTTGCGGTGAGCGAGATCGCGCCATTGTGCTCCAGCCTTGGTAACGAGAGAAACGGCATCTCAAAAAATAAAATAAAATAAAATAAAAATCACAGGGCTGGTACTGGAACCCGGGTTTCTAACTTTGCAAACCAAGTTAGGTGTTGGTTACCCTGCATGATAACAGTAGGCTGAAAACCTGTATGTGAAGGAAAGCTTGAAAAGGATCATTCTGGGTAATAAGCTAAATTGAACTTTTTTATTTCAGAAACAGTTTTCATCCCTATTTTTTCTTAGTGCCTTTCCCAAGCTTAAATGAAATCACCTTTAGACTGAAGTCTATAGTTAGCAGTTAGAACTTAGTACGTACTTGAAGGCTGAGTGCATTTGCAAGTCTAATCTTAGTATTTGCCTAGGTTTTCAAAGGTATTAACCAGGAAGAATTGTCATTTGGTGTCACATTTTGGAAGAAATGATTGATTTTTTTTTTTTAAGTGAAACAGTAATTGGGGTGTGTGTGTGTGTGTGTGTGTGTGTGTGTGTGTCAATAAGAATGGTATGATTCCTCAAATAGTAATTTGGGAAACTTCACTGAGATAGAATACATAGTATAGTAAACATTTAAATGAAAGTCTTGTCTAGTGCATTCTTATTTCAGGTCAAAATCTTAAGTTGTTTTTTTCAGGTTTCAGAATCTTACCTTTGTTCCTTTGCCAGCCATTTCCAACAGTGGAAAAAAAAAACTCACCTGGAGAGTTTTAGGTAGTGCAGAACATTCGAAAGAAATAAAAGCATGAGGAAACATTTTAGGACCCAGCAAATGATAGATCCCAAAATGGACAGTAAAAGCATTTTATGGTAGCAGGAAAGTCCTAGATTATTTTACTTTGAGGAAAGTACATGTTATAATGGAATAGCTGCCCGTTGGACTTGGAGTCAGAATCAAGATTCCTATCTGGACTTCACTCCATTGAGCCTATGACTTAACCTTATCAAATGTCATTTTTCTCATTTTATAAAAACTAATAAAAAGAAAATTTATGAGATTTAAATGGTATAATCCATGTAAAAACACACCATGAAGTACCTGGCAGATATTAGGTGCTCAATAAAGATTAGTTGAATAGGAATCTAATCAAAATAAGTTTAAAAAAAAATTAACCCATACTTTATTATAGTTGTGGCTTCCCTACCTGTAGTGATTAGTTTTATTTGTGAACTTGGCTAGGCTATAGTATACACTTATTTAGTCAAACACTTATCTTCGTGTTACTATGACAGTATTTAGTAAATATGGTTAATATCTATAATTAGTTGACTTTAGGTAGAGGAGATTACACTCGTAACATGAATGGCCTCCTCCAATCATTTAAAAGGCATTAAGCGCAAAAGCTAAGGTTTCCAGGAGAAGAAATTCTGCCTTAAGTTTGCAGCATCAATTTCTGCCTGAGTGTCCAGGGCATGGGTGATAGGGATGGGGCAGTGAAACCTTTATTTTGGGAGGTGTACTCGATTCCTTACTTTGGTGGACTTTCCATTTCTCCTTTTCTCCAACCCATTTTTCTTCCTTCTTTGATTTGTTTTTAAATTCAGGATTTTTAGATGTTTTCTGTGGGAGGTTCAATTGGATTATCTAATGTTACTTTTTACTGACTAAAGGATAAAGACCAAATTCTAACATGGCATGAAAAGCACTTCATTTTTTTTTTTTTTGAGACAGTCTCTCTCTGTTGCTAGGCTGGAGTGCAATGGCACAATTTCAGCTCACTGCAACCTCCATCTCCTGGCTTCAAGTGATTCTCGATTCCTCAGCCTCCCCAGTAGCTGGGATTATAGGCACACACCACCACTCCCAGCTAATTTTTGTAGTTTTAGTAGAAATGGGGTTTCACCATGTTGGCCAGGATGGTCTTGATCTCCTGACCTCATGATCCACCTGCCTTAGCCTTGCAAAGTGCTGGGATTACAGGCGTGAGCCACTGCACCTTGCCAACACTTCATTTTTATAAAATGAAATTTTTTATACATATAACAAAGTTGGAAGAATTCTTCAGTGAGTATCCATTTACCCACAACTTAGATTCTACCATTAACTTTTTATTATACTTGTTTTATCACATACCGATTCATTTTTCCATTCCTTTCTCCATCAGTTCATTTTATTTTTTGGTACATTTTGAAGTAAATTGCAGACATCTGTTTGCTTTCCTCTACATACTTCAGCCTTCATATCATTAAAGTTTAATTCCTTGTGTTTTTCTTTTGATGTAAAGTTTACATTCAATGTAATACACAAATCTTTTTTTTTTTTTTTTTTTTTTTGAGATGGAGTTTTGCCAAGTCTGGAGTGCAGTGGTGCAGTCTTGGCTCACTGCAACCTTCCCATCCCAGATTCAGACGATTCTCCTGCCTCTGCTTCCCCAGTAGCTGGGATTACTGGCATGCACCACCATGCCTGCCTAAATTTTGTATTATAAATAGAGATGGGGTTTCACCATGTTGGCCAGGCTGGTCTCGAACTCCTGACCTCAGGTGATCCACCCACGTCAGCCTCTCAAAGTGCTGGGATTACAGGTGTGAGCCACCACTCCTAGCCTGTAATACACAAATCTTAAATTATTTTTGCTGAATTTTGAGAAATGCATACACATATATAATAGCCTCTATCAAGATGTAGAACTTTACCATCAGCCAGGAAAGTTCTCTCATACCCCTTCCCTGTTAATCCCCACCTCCATCTTCCCCGTTCTCTCCAGCACAACCACTGTTCTGATTTTTTTTTTCTGTACCATAGATTAGGTTTGCCTGTTTTAAAACTGCATACAATTGGACTAATCTAGTATTTACTATTTGGGAAGGCTTTTTTGTTCAGCATGCTTTTGAGATTCATCCATGTTGCTATGTGGTAGGATTCCACTGTATAAATATACCACAGTTTGTTAACTCATTTTCCTGCGGTAGACATGTGGCTGTTTTTAGGTGTGGGTAATTGTAAGTAAAGCTGTTATGAGATTCTTGGACAGATCTTTTTGTGGATATTTTCTTTTCTCATAGGTAAATGCCTAGGATTGGAATAATTGGGTCATAGAATATGTGTATGTTTAGTTTTATTAGATGCTGCCAGACCTTTTTCCAAAGTGGTTGTACACATCATTTCATACACAGAGCATTTGATCCACATCCTTGTCAACATTTAGTGTCAATCTTTCAACTTTTAGTCATTCTGGTGGATATGTAGTTTTATCTCATTGTGCTATCCAGTTTATTTTTAACTCTTCAGTCTTTCTTTCATTTCCTTGCCCTACTTACATTTCACTCTTGGCAAAACAAGCTATTTACATATACATTAATATCCCATGCACTTTTTATTGTTCATATTGTTCCCATAGAGGTAATGATAAATTTGTTTTAAAATTATGAAGTTTGTGATGGTTATTCAACAATAAATAACTGAAAACTGCATCTGAAGTTGAGTTTTGAGAACTTTTGATTTTCTATTGTGAAAACTCAGAGTATGTCATCTTATACCGTGCCTCTTATTCTTAGAAGATGAGCCTACAGAATAAAGGTTAGTGCTTTTATGAGCCCATCTGAAGATTTCAAAAAAAATTTATAAGCATCATTTTATTTATACCTATAATGTACTCAAGACTCAAAAGAGTAATTTTAACCAGTGAAAGCAAGTAAGTACCTCAGTGTTGGAATAATTCAGTTATGAAGCTGGAAAAAAATCTTTGGCTCATCATAGGTATATTCTTGTTCTAATGTATGTTCTTTAACTTCTCAGAGCATGCTGCTTTTAACAGCAAGTAGAAAGACTGGCTAGAGTCAGCGAACAGCAGAACTCCAAAACTGTGCATGTTAAAATCTTGATGCTGCCATAAAAGCTGTGTTTTTATGATCTTTACTTACTTATTCATTTATACAAAAAGATAAGGAGAGTTTCTAGCTAAGATACTTTTCCTGAAATGAAACATTGTAGTTTCTAAGCTATTTCACCTTCTGAGTAACAGTTTTTCCTTTTTCCCCCTTTCTTTTTTTAAGCAGATATGAGGACAGTCTGACTTTGTCTTCTGAAATCCCATTGATCACTAGAGTTGATTCAATTAATCTTGCCATTCAGATGGCTGTTTTGTGTTCATGAAGTCCAACCTAAAGGTTGGCAAATGAAGATAATTATGACCTTCATAAAGGAGGACACTCCTTTGGTTCACAGCAGTCATCATTAAAGAAACATTTAGCAGCCTCTGTGTTCTTCCCTGATCCCATCTTCTTCCTTTCCCTCTGGAGATAACCAGTATACTTAATTTAGTGTTGACAATTTCCTGGCTTTTACCTCTTTGCATTCCTAAAAATATACTGTTTAGGTTTACTTGTTTTATATTTTATATAAGTGAAATTGTACTATATGTAGATTCTTCTGCAACTTGCTTTTTTTTTTGTAACACAACTTGTGCTTGTTAGTATAATTCATGTTCCTGAGAATTGACTGTGTTAACAGATATATAGTTCATTTATTTTTGCTGTTGTTTAGTATTCCACTGTAGGAATATATTTATCCATTCTTTAATCATTGGACATTTTGTTGTTCCCAGGTTTCTGCTGTTATAAATAAGGCTGCTGTGAACATTTCTGTGCATCTTTTGGTACACAGAAATGTAATGGTTTCTGTATACTTAGGAGTGTAATTATTATAATATAGGTCATGATCATATTCAACTTTAACTATTAGGTTGGTGCAAAAGTAATGTTGGTGTTTGTCATTGCTTTCAGTGACAAAAGCTTCAATTACTTTTGCAATGACCGAATAGAATTTCTCGAATTTTTTGGTCTCATGATCCCTTACACATTTAAAAATTATTGAGGACCGCAATAGCTGTGTGAGTTAAATCTATTTGATATTTACTGTATTAGAAGTTAAAGCTGAAAAAAATTAAATCTTTATTAATCCATTTAAGATTTGTGTGTGTGAGAAAGGATATTTATGCCCTGTTTTGTATCGGTAGTATGTTTCTTTAGATTACTGAGTAGTATCCCATTGTATGAATGTAATTGTCTGTTTTCCTATTGACAGATACCTGGACTGTTTCCAGTTTTTGGCTATTACTAATAAAGTTGAACACTCTTATACACGTCTTTTTGTGGATGTATATTTTCATTTTTCTTGAATAAATGCCTAGGATTGGAATTGCCAGGTTAGGGTTGGTTTATGTTTAGTTTTATAAGAGCCTGTAAGACTTATTTTCCACAGTGATGTATCATTTTTCCTTCTCATCATGAAAGTTTTCATCCACAACAATGCTTGGTGTTGTCATGCTTCTTAATTTTATCCATTCTGGGGTGTATATAGTAGTATCTGATTGCAATTTTAATTAGCATTTACCTGATGTCTAATGATGTTGAGCATATTTTCTTATGCTTATTGGTCATTTGTATATCTTCTTTTGTGAAGTATCTTCAAATCTTTTGCCCATTTAAAGAAACTGGATTGTCTTTTTATTATTGAGTAATAGGGGCTCCTTAGATATTCTGAATATAAGTCCATTTGCCAGATGGATGTTTTGTGACTATTTTCTCCTTGTCTATGGTTTGCCTACTTCATTTTTTTAAAGATGTTTTTTGATGAGAAGTTGTATATTTTGCTGAAGTCTAATTGATCAGTTTTTTTCTCTCATGGTTATTGCTTTTTTTTTTTTTTTTGAGATGGAGTCTCACTCTGTTACCAGGTTGGAGTGCAGTGGCATGATCTTGGCTCACTGCAACCTCCACCTCCTGAGTTCAAGCAATTCCCCTGCCTCAGCCTCCCAAGTAGCTGGGACTACAGGCATGTGCCACCAAGCCTACCTAATTTTTTGGATTTTTAGTAGAGGCAGAGTTTCACCATGTTGGCCAGGATGGTCTTGATCTCCTGACCTCATAATCCACCTGCCTCAGCCTGCCAAAGTGCTGGGATTACAGGTGTGAGCCTTCACGCCCCACCAGTTATTGCTTTTCATAGCTTGTCTACACCCATGTTTTCTTCTGGAAGCTTTATAGTTAATTGCTTTATATTCAGGTCTATATTCATCTCAAATTTATTATCGCATATGGTGTAAGGTAGGGAGGTAGGGATTGAAGTTCATTTTTTCCTCATAGGCATATCTAGTT